TTTACCCGGGACGTGAGTCTGGACGATTCACTCTGGCAGTGGCTAACTTTCCCCAGACATACTACTCGCGGATTGTGGCAACCACTTGGTAACGGGTGGTGCTCGCGAGGCCGAACTTTCCTTTCCGATGACCACGCACTCTGAGGTTATTCTTAGCGGCACGCAGCCACGAGACGAAGAATAAACCCAGGGGATCGCCCCAGTCCGATCAACAGCACATGGTTAGCTTTGGGTGCTGATTTAGCTACTTCAAGATGGCGGCAGCTCACACCAGCGGCCCGATAAATCTGTCGCCAATATGCCAACAATGGACGCGACCACGTATGGTGACTCGCGTAGTTTCAATTTTATGGTTGCGTTTCCTTTTTAGAAGTTTCTAAACTCACGTTTTTATTTTTTTTTACAAATTTCCAATTAAACACGACTCACGATTTAATATTAGCTTTTCATTTAATGTCAACACATTTAGACAAGTTAGACTATTTAAATTGTTTTTCACAATCACTTAGACTTGGTTTCGATTATCTTCTAGATACACTTTGGTCTGAACGGAAAAGATCGAGTCGGTGCTCTTTCCGTGATCAGAAGCCTATTTTTTTTCCAAATTTCATTTTTATTCCGGTTCTATCGTGCTTGATTCCAAATATTCGTATTAAAATTTTCTTTAAGGTCTGATCAATTAAATGACATGCTACTCCCCTTAATACCATCCTTACCTACTGATTCGAGCACTTTGGTTGCCTATTTCTAAGGCGCAAATTAATTCCACAAATAGGGTTCTTAATGAAACATGGACTGTAAGTCCGTTTCACTATGTACATCGAATTTTTGATGAATGACTGCCAGCAAGAGTTGCGGACCACAATGTAGCTACTGCCGGTGGAAAGAATCAGCAATCAACCGGGGGCGACCCCGGCGTAGTGGTTAACATCCATACCTCTCACGCCAAAGTCACGAGTTCAAATCTCACCCCCGGACAAGTCACGAATGACCCAAGAGTGTTAAAGTGACTATAATAATAAAAAAAAAAAAAAAGCAATCAACCAGGTTAGCGGATGCTTGTACGGTAGTACGAAAGGGTTTTTCCCGTCACTAGCGACTCCGGCGTGTTCGAGCCGGCCACCAACTCGAATAAGACCAGCACGGAGTTCCGGATTGAGGTAGCGTAGCTTTGACGAATGCGGGACGATTCATTCGGCCTGAAGAGCAGCAATTTCTGACGGGAAGTATTCCTGTTGGATCACGCGAAGTACTCCGAGCAGAGTTTGATTTTGCTCTTCTACGGTAATTGGACCGTACTGATAGGTTTTCGCAGGAGGAATGGTTGGTTGATTGCGCCGGTCTGCAAGGCTGCGACAGTTATTAGCAAAACGCCTGCAGAGTGCACCAATCCGTAGGAATACGGGGCGAAAAACGAGTTATGATATCGCTTACTTGCGATTCCGTGATAGGAAGCGCTATTTTTATTTTTAGTTTCAAGGTCTTTTTCCTTCAGTCGGCCGAGATCTTCTGGTGGTTGCGGCCAAGGGAGGTTAGGAGCACCGAGCCACAGTGGTCCAATTCCACCAAAGTGAATCGTCCAAAAGTTGACTCACATCCATGCCCCGTGAGATGATATCAGCGGGATTTTCTTCGCCGGGCACATGGTTCCAGACATGCTTGGCATACACAGTTTTGGTTACGAACTGCTCATTTGCTAATAACTTTGCACACAGTTGACGTAACATAGTTATTTTTGAAGCAGTAGATAGAATAGAGTGTATGCTTTTTATAGATACGTAAAAAACAGTAGATTTTAATTCTAGTAATAAACTGTTAAAATGAAGTGAGAAATGCTCGCTGCACATGTCGGACTTTAAGTGTAAAAAATCATTGGTGTTGATTCAAATGTTAAAATGTATCTACTCTTTGCATACCTATAGTAAACTATGATCCTAATCTATCAATTATTTTAAAGAAAAACAAATCTCAACAACTGAGCGATTTTGTCTCTCGACACTCTTCTGGAATTTCGTTAAGAATTTCCTGGTTGCATCCCAGCACTCTCGAATATTCCGAGAAGTTGGGAGCAGAGTTGCTTCAGCTTCTCAAGATCGTCGCATCCCGTGAGTAGATCATCCATATACATGTCCTTGCGGATAACCACCGCTGCCAAAAGAAATCGATCCTGTTTACCATATATACTATTCATTTGACTCATAAATTTCAGGTGTACTTCTGAGTGGATTCTGTTTATGTGTGGTTACATGAAAATCATGTGAAATTTTACATGGAAATTCGTCAATAAAAAATGTGGAATGTGTGGAATTTTTTGAGTGTACATATCCCGGTACATATCTATCAACAGACAGAAAAATATAACGGAATTAAAAGGAAACTACTCGACTCACTCTAAAAGCTCTTCAACCTTAAGCTTTGAAAAAATCAGAGCAGTTTTTCAAAGGAATGTAAAATTTAGGAAAGTCCTATTAAAGACCAGCTTTCTTAGAAGAGGACAGAATTATGAAATGATGACCTTGGATATTTAAATTTGTTCTGAGCCTGAGATTTAATTAAAAAAAAATATCTCAGTTCATCATCCTTAGATTCCTGTAGAATTTAAAACAATATTCTATATCTGAGATTTTCAACATTATCCATGAAACCAGAACTTTTAAAATTCTTGCGATTTCGGAATTTTGCCATCGAAACTTATCCTAGAGCGTCACGTTTTTTTAACACTTTGAATTAAGGAGAAAATAACGAAAATGAAACTGTCATGCATTTAGTACGGATATTCCAGGATTTCTACAGAACTAATCCAACGGTTAACAGAGCCTATATTCAGGTCACAACTCCAAATCATTCACAATAATATAACAACTACAAGTGTTTTCGATAGTGATGCACTAAATATTCTGTCGAATATCAAGCTTGAAATTTCTCGCAGGCAACTTGTCGGCCACTTGTTAGTTGAGAAAAGGCCGAGTATGAGATAGTTTTTTGGTGTAAACGCCGAATAGCACTATTCGGTGCATAACTAGTTTTTACTGATTTTCCGGAAGACTACCTTGTGGAATTCACGGCAACGTATCAATTTGACAATTTTTAGGAAGTTCCAGAGCATCATAAACTTTGAAAATACCAGAAACATCCGAAGCCTAAGGAGCCTTCGAGGCTAACAAAACTTTAAGATCAAAGATTAGAGTACTTCTGGAACACTCTGAAGGATTTCGGAAATTATTGTAATTTTTAATGTTTCAAATCCTTAAAGTCCAGGAAGATTCAGAAGGTGTGGGTATGGTAGACAGAGTATAGTATGAAATACTGATTATATTTAAAACTAAACTCTGTCTACCACTGAGGAGTTTCTGGAGCTCTGATGCAAGAGATTTTACACACTATGAATAGTAGGGTTGGTCATCATGATCATTTTTTCAGAACAATGTTTTTTTTTTTTTTGATTCCAACCCAAACTGATGTAACGGCGCCGGTGGTGTAGTGGTAAGCGTGATAACCTCTCACCCGAGCAGGCCTGGGTTTAATCCCAGTCGGCGCCGCTGGGATTTTCTGAGGCATAACATCTCTGATCACGCCTTCCTTCGGATGGGAAGTAAAGCCGTTGGTCCCCGGTTCATGAGTTGATGGGTCGATAGGTAGGGTCCAGGTGTGGGAGCTGCTTTCCTGGCACGTCAGTAGCATTGGTGCTCAGCACGGAAAACAAGATCGACGGAAAAAACAAACCAAAAGAAAAAAAAAAAAACCCATGCTGCAAAATTTGGGGACGATTGGTTGTAACCAGGGTTGTGAATGACGTTAACGTCTTCAATGCAAACGCGTAAACGATTAAAGCCCATGTTTGTAGCCCGGCTTTCCGCAATGCAATTCAAGTTTGTATGGAAATTAGTATGGGAAAACCTTTTTTTTTTTTGGATTTTCATTTTTAAACACCACAATTTTGCTTGAACAATGCAACTAATCATGTAAAAGTATAGTCCATATGCATAACAACTTTGCCGAAGGATGTCTCTAAACGCTCTAAATAAAGTTATAGCTGTTGCGATGTTGCGAAATAAATGTCAAAAATCACTATTTCTGCCAACACTGCCAGGTTTACCAAAGTCAGATTCCAAACTAAAAAAATTTCGGAGTTTCTTATCTTATCGATTTGGTATGCTCAGATGCATTATTCAAAAACAATTGCTCAATCTCATAAGCGTACTTAGAGAGGGAGGAGCATACTATACCCCCCGCTTTTCTCACTCATATCAATGGAAGTAAAGCTTCAAACTGAAACAACTTCGGAGTTTCCCATCTTCTCGAGTTGGTATGTTCGAATGCGTTATTCAAAAACATTTTGTCTGGCATAGTCTATACTATCAGGTAAGTAAACAAACTTTTGGCTTTTGTGCATGAATTGAAGCGTTGTCGAAGTTTTGCAGCATTAAAAAGCATCAAGAAACTATAAAATTTTACAACTTTTGTCAAATGAGCCATACAAAATCCGTAGTTGGGAGAGTATGATACAAAAGAAAATACAAATCCCAAAAGAAAAATTGAAATTAATAATAACTTGATCAGAAAAAGCCTGATTAAAAAAAAAGCTATTAGTCAAAAATGACGTTTGAGCGCTACCTTACTAAGAATGATTAAAAGCTTTGAAATAGAAAATAAATATTTCTCAAAACGAGTGCTGTACTCAAGATAATTTATTTACTTTCTACTTCACATGAATTATGCAATCATTGTCTGTATGTTTGTTTTGTTTGAATAACATCCAAATACTGTATCCACAGTGGAATGGGCAATAAAAGAAGAAAAAAAAAAAGCAAAATAGAGGTGAATTGCTGCAAAAGAAGATTGCTACTGAAGATTGTATTGAAGATGGTTATCAAACAAGTCACAGAGCCCAATACAGGTACACCTCTGCTGTTGACTAAATAGTAAATAAAGTAACAATCACAGTAGCGAAACGCTGGGAGACCATGGAAAGTTAACAGAAAGAAGAAAAAAATACGCACCTGTGTGGATTCTTCGCCGAACACATTGTCGAAGTAGTAAACCTTAGGAGGTTCGCTAGAGTTTGCATTCGGTTTGTACACGGTAACGAAACGGTTGCACTTATCCGTTTTGATTATGTTCTGGCTACCGGATTCAATTTCATTTTTATCCATTGGTCGAACTCGAACCACCACCCGAACATTTTCAATTTCACCTTCCGTCTTGGATTCCTCCTGGAAAGAAACATTGCTTAGCACTGAAACCACAGCTGGGATTAATTTTCCTACACTAACCGGCATTTTGCACTAAATATGACTAGATATTCGACCAATTTAGTCGGAAATTTCACTTATTTACCACCAGGCGAACAAAATTGGAATCTGAAAATTCGATCCGTTTTCAAGTTTAGCTGCACCTAAATTGTTTTGACAACCAGCTGACAACAAACAATGAAAAAAGGTAAGTCGAGGTTAGCCCGAATACACGACAAAAATAAGAAACCCATTCATGGGTAAAATTTCAATTTGAATAAAAAGGGGGTCTCCCGAAAAAAAATATTTTCTAGGTACAGTTGAAAACGAGGTTGAAAACCGGAAACGCGACAATCAATTTTAATCTTGTTCTGTACGTTAAGCCGCGTTAAGCATAGTGTCGGACTCGCAAAAATCACCTGTTCACAACTTCAAAGTGCGCCATTTTGAACTTTGGAAAAAATAATAATAAAATAATACGTTTACTCATGTTTTGACAACTCCATAGAGATTAGTGACGTTTAAAGCACGCACACTAATCACAGATACGAATTTTGTTCAATTAAAACAAAAATATAAATTAATATACTCTAAACATATGCATTATTCAAGGTAAATTGAAAGCATGTTTAAACCTGAGACTAGATGAGACTCACCCTATGTGGCTCAACCAAGACTCCCGGATATCTAGCTCAGTAGCATGAGACCCCTGAACTGTGTCACAGGGCCGGCATGCTACTTGGTAATTTGTACAACTGTCAAACGAAAAGCATGACAATCTGAAATTAAAGCGGTCTATTTTTATAAAAAAAAAAAAAAAACATTTTTGTCAAGAAAGTTTGGTATATTTGATTACATCCCTAATAAACGGGTACCATATACTGACGATATCTTAGATGGTGTGACCACACCACATAAAGTTGGGATGATATCTCGAATTAGTGGTTAGGTGCATCTTATGGTTATTGTTTATGCGGGATATGAGCTGCTTTTAATTAAATAATCAATCTTTTCAACATTAAAACACAATTTTTCATTCTAAGTTCTAATAATTATTAAATCAAAATCAATGTTTCATTAATTGTTATAAAAAAAAGTCTACGAATATAAAAACACGAACACGCAGCTCTCCCACTCCATCTCAACTCACCAAGAATAGATTCCCCTTTCTGATTCCAGATGAAAATGCCACTCATCATCGTCAGCAACTTCCCACTCGGCGACTATCAATATTGTTCCGCATACCGCGCGCTCTGTGCCATGTACAAAATCTGTATGTCGTTTCCACCTTAGTCGACCAACGGATACGGTTTTTCCCTTAATATGTATTGCTAATATTTCCTGCAAACCAAACCAAAACTTTAAAAAAGTTACTAACTGTTAACTAGAGATTGCAACGATGTTTCGAGCGCGTAAATTGACATGCAGGCCAATGAGTACATAGAGAGGTGGAACAGATTGTGAAATATTGTGGTTTAGTAAACTAAAAATAACGTAAACGCAATTATTGACGCCACTATTTGCTTGTATCATGTCTAGCATTTTACGAGCGCTTATGGCCGCCACAATCTGACTGAGTTTTTAGTAAGGAACATATGAATTAACGTTTGGGTTGTGTCGTTTGACGTGTAAACGTTCAAATTTGAACGTTTACACGTCAAACGCCACAAGCCAAACTTCAAATCTTATGTTCCCTACCAGAAACTCAGCCAGATTGTGGCGGCCATAAGCGATCGTAAAATATTGGATTGTGGTTTTACTCACACAACTTAACAGATTGCTTCACCCCGGTAATCCATCTCATTGGTGGCAGGCGACAAATGAGGGATCAGTAATAGGTGTATTTTTGACAGTTGAACAAGTTTTCTTTTAAAAAAATCACTTTTAAAATTACATGTTGCAAGTGAAAGAAATACTTTCATATCAAAAGCATAACTTTCATTTTGAATAGTTACGTAGTTGAAACTACGAATTTTGGGAAACTTTTAATAAGAAAATGCATTATTTTCATAGCAATAATTTTTGTTCTCTGTGTGTAATGGATATTTTTTGGATGCTATTGAAAATTTAGTTGATTTCTGAATGTATGTATGGGCCCAAATTAGGGACACTTAGGCCGACATTACCTGCATTTCGCCTACATTCTGAAAAAAGTTGCCCCCGCTTTGCTCAATTCTACAGAAAACGGCCCGAAAGTGCAAACCGAAGATGGATGCGGAAACCAGCTCAACTAAACCGGCGCAGCCCCACAGTATCAACTTCACTCCGTCGTTTCTGATACCGATCGTTATAACAACAATCAATACGAAACTAACGATTTTAAATTGGCTCACTACTTGACTAGCCTATTGGTCCCAAGCAAACGTTTAACGTATCCCATTGTAGTCGAAATTCTACTACTACACAATGTTTGTTTTGATTCGCTATGAAAGTTTGACAGATAAAATGAGGGGTTAGTGGATTTCCTATTTTTCGAGGTGTGAATCGATTAGCTTGGGACCAAAGATAGTACCAGAGCTGAGCCAAAAAGTTGAGCACGTTATTTCGGGACTTTCTAGTCTTAGAGTTACCTCTATGGTTATATCACCGACACTGAACGTACAAAGAAACCGTTATGAGGACCAGTGGCAGAAACGACAAAACGACGCCGGACACCCACCCCAACGGGTCCTTGTATCCCGGACCAGGACCCCATTACTTACAGATCACCCTTAATCGCACCCGAAAAAGAGCAGGAATTTAGATGCCCTGCCCGAAGATCTTTTTTTTCCGTTTCTTAGCAAACCGTTTAATTTTGCTTTACCCTGCACTCAAGTACTAAAATAATTTCAAAATATGTATGTTTATTTTAAACATGAGAAGCACCCTTATAAGCGGGTACCACAGACAAACAGACATAACACATTGAATATGTATCACTGTAAAACATCGTTGCTAAAACATTACCGCCAACGGCGCCGGTGGAGTAGTGGTAAGCGTGATTACCTCTCACCCCAGCAGGCCTGGGTTCAATCCCAGTCGGCGCCACCGGGATGGTCTGAGGCATAACATCTCTGATCACGCCTTCCTTCGGATGGGAAGTAAAGCCGTTGGTCGCCGGTTCATGAGTTGATGGGTCGATAGGTAGGGTTCAGGCGTGGGAGCTGCCTTCCTGGCACGTCGGTAGTATTGGTGCTCAGCACGGAAAACATGATTGACGGAAAAAACAAACCAAAGGAAAAAAAAAAACAACATTACCGCCATCTGTTGAATACACTGTGGTGGGTTGTACGCTGAACAGATAGCGGTAGTGTGTAAACGTCAAACGCAAGGGAATTTACTATGCGTGCCACAGGTGGCGGTACTACCAACTACGATACTTTTAAATTGACCGTTAAATGCTTGATCGATGAACAACTTGCGAGTGTTATGTTAGTTTGTCTGTGCGGGTACCATACACATATGAAATCATAGATGGTGCAACCATACCACATATATTTGGAATGATATCCTGAATTGGTGGTTAGGCGCTTCTTAAGGTTATTGTTTATGCGGGCATTTCTTTAAATTTTTCGAACCTCTCAACGGAATCTCTTTATGAAGAGCTTGTTTTTTCTTTGATTGTTTTCCGTCGATCTTGTTTTTCGTACAATGCTACCGACGCCAGGGAGGCACCTCCCACACCTGGACCCTACTTATCGACCCATCAACTTATGAACCGGGGACCAATGGCTTTACTTCCCTTCCTAAGGAAGGCGTGATCAGAGATGTTATGCCTCAGAAAATCCCGGTGGCGCCTACTGGGATTGAACCCAAGCCTGCTGGGGTGAGAGGTAATCACGCTTACCATTACACCACCAGCGCCGCTATATGAAGAGTTTTGAGTGGGTTGATTTATTATCTTTGAATTCCGTTATAATTGCTTATCTTTTGACAGATATGCGTATTTCGTCTACTAATCTGTTTCCCTCTTGCTCGCACTCGTTCGATTTAAATTGTGCAGTAGTGTGCGCCGATTAAACGTCAAAAAGCTCTATAGTAGTTTACATTAGACTACGGCAAAAATCTTGATAGAGCTGGAATTAGGGTGTAACAGCTTTTGTAAACAATGACGCCCTAATTCCAGCTCTATCTAGAAATAATGATTTACTCATTTCTACCCAAAATTAAGTTCAATTGACTCAAATTTGAGAATGTCTCATATACTCACCAATAGCTTATTGAACGATAGTCATGAGAAAATCGAATCTCTCGTTCCGTTTTTGACAACAACAAAAAGTGAGAGTGGGATGCAAGACTCAAAATTACCCAAAATACGCCTTTTTAATAGAAACTAAGCGATCGATTCAATCCCTGGTGGTGAATATGAGAACGTCAAAAAGAGTGTTGTGAGCAGAATTTTTTGCCGTGAGACATTGGAAGTGGAACACTTTTTCACATTTCTTGATAAATAAATTCATTTTAGGTGCTTGAAACCTTGATCTATAGTTGAAAAATTTATTTGTGTATTATTTTTGCAAGGATTCTGCTAGTGTTCAGGATTTTTTTTTGTTGAGAAAAATGCAAAATTCCAATAGCGACTTAGTGGTTATGATCTTCAGAATTTCTTGTGTTAGTTTCATAGTTTAGGTGCAAATCAGTTCAGATGTGTGGAAAATCGTAAAATAAGACAATATTTGATGGAAATTCGCAAGATTTTCAATGAAAAATGCTTTAATTTGCGTTGGGAAAAATCCTTCTTATGATGCAAACAAACGGTTTGGTTGACATTTCCTCTCGAACTCGCGTGTTGCCCTCTACGTTGGTGGTGCATTAAAAAGGCCTATTAAGTAAAAAGAACTTAAATTTAGGGGAATTCACCCGCTATTTAAAAACTATCAAAATTTGGATATAATCCACCCAGATCGTTCAAAACTGAACCTACACGGTAAGGCCGCGGCCAGAGTAGACGCGACGCGATGCGACTCACGCAAGGAATAATAATAAATAATAAGATTCTTTTGAATTTCGAATCGCGTCTACCCTGGCCGTACCCTAAGAAAATAGTATCCAACGGCTAGATCACTTTTACCTACTTTTGACAGCGAAATTCGGCTTTACTCTCTATCTCGGTTTTGTGTTGTTTCGTTTCTCCGTGGAATAATGGGCTTGTGTGTCTTTTGAGCGTGCATGGGCTAACTTGGAATACACAAACTTCACGCATGAAGCTGCGAGCTCGTTTTTCGTTGTTTTGTATACATTCAGATGGCAAAATATTTATCTCCTAAACTACGGATTCTCCAGTGAAATTGTCTTTCATCTAGTTATCTTTAATGATAAACGGTCTGGTTTAACTCATTTGGTTTAGCTAAATAATCTTCAGTTGTCGGCAATTACATTGTTAAAGGCTATCCACTGAAATGTTAAACGCATTGGGAGTCATTGTTTCTGGAAGACTGGTAAAGTTGTGCAGCTGCTCATTGCCGCTACCTGTGGAATCATTACTCTCCGTTACTTTCAGGTGCAAACCGATTTCCAGCAGATATCTGAAGCACAATTTCTGATAAATATCGCAGAAGCGGACAATGTAAACCACGTTGTTGTGTTTCTGACGGGAACCACGCCATTCCCTGAAGGGATGGCTGGTGCTGGTAAGTTGCCTTTACATGGCATTATTTCGTTAGGGTGCAAACTTTGGATCTCATTTGCTATTTTATAGTTTACTTCAGCTGGCCAGACCCAAATGCACCTCCTGCCTGGCAGTTTCTAGGATACATCTCCAATTCAAAACCGTCAGCCATATTCAAAATATCGCAGTTGAAGAAATTAGATGAAATACCCAATAGTTCATCAGTGAACGTGTTCGGTACGAATTTGCCTATATCTCATATTGCGCAAATTGGTCTTTCCATAGAACCGGAAGGGAGCCTAATGCAGCAAACGCCTGCAACGGTTTGTATTTTTTTTTATGATTTCGTGCTTATTGATGCCTATTTATTGATGTTATTTGCCTTACAGACCACGACCGACACTTACTATCAGTTTGGACAAAAAATGGTTGAAAATTTCTTCAACTTTGTTAGTAGCTTTTCCGTCACTCAACCGCAAATGGTTCCGAACCCGAATGAAACATTCGTACCGCTATCGACGGTTCAGACTTGGTTCACCAACTTCCAGCGTCGATTGCAGCAAAATCCTAGCTTCTGGAAAAGCTAAGCAAGTCGACGTTGCATGACACTAGTCAACACACGATGAAGCACTCGGGAAAGGTTTACACACCACAACGATGCGATGCGGGGATTTTTTTGAGCTACGCCGACAGTCTACTACCATTTATTAGAGCAATAACGATATAGAGCGCCAGTTTTTCATTAATGTAAACCCATGTGTTTTCAAATTTTTCCGTTTCTTTCAAGCATTTCCTTTCAGCCCGAAGATTGGATGGAAATTAATACTACATATAATAAATGATTTTGGATGAAACTTGGATGCAAAGATCTCCTTCCTTGAAGACTGGCCACTGATACACTGTGATCCCTAGAGCACTTGAACTAATATTTGCAGTAGTAACATTTCAAAAATATACATTAAAACTAGTCCAAAATTATTGAGTGCGACGAGTTTGAACCGCTTCAAATATGGTGCCTCCACGGTATGGCAATAACTGGAAAACAACTTTCGATCTGTTTTGTGGCGACCAATTTTCATCTCACTTTCTTCAACAATGGCTGAAGCCACCCACAAGATGGTTTGGGTCCATGAATACTCACAACACTTTGAAGCCACTCAACAACTCATTGCTTCCCAAAGCTGTGCAAAATTTGATCGAATTTGATTAAGATCTGGATTTGCGGAAGAGCTCTCAAGTTTGTTTGGGAAATAGAACAAAACTGTTCAGTTTCCTGTCAAAAATGTTTGACCAAACCTCGGATATAGATTTAATTTATTCATTTAATTATTGGTTTTGTCAAATAATGTAGACTACATAGGTATAAAAGGGTATAAATACATATTCTAACACCAGATGCGCCACCTTTAAAAATGTGGGTGTAACAAGATACTATGGTCTCTTAGAACTATTTGATTATGTTTGGAATCATGAATTAGTTTCGGAGAACTGGAACATTGTTTTTTCCTTGATTTGTTTTTCGTCGATCTTGTTTTCCGTGCTGAGTACCAATGCTACTGACGCCAGGGAGGCAGCTCCCACACCAGGACCCAACGGATTTAGTTTCCTTCGAAAGGAAGGCGTGATGAGAGATTTTATACCTCAGAAAATCCCGACGGTGCCGACTGGGTTTGAACCCACGCCTGCTGGGATGAGAGGTAATCACGCTTACCACTACACCACCGGCGTCGCTTTTTTTTTTTTTTTTTTTTATTTTTTTTTTAACTCTTTATTTGTTCCAAATTCAAAATAAATTACATTTCATTTTAACCTAGGTGCTCCAGTTACTGCAGTAACGTACCAGCCTTAATTGTTATGATATATATCTAAGTGTTTTTACATTGTTCATGTCTTGGCAATTCAGTATTTTAAACAGGTTTTTTAACCTGCATGTCAGTATAACAATTGATATCTTAAAACTAAAAACTAAAACTAAATCTTATCTAAGCATAAAGGGAATTAATCGTTGCAATTGAGGATTGCAACGATTTTTGCCTGAAATTATTAATTATTTTGTTGGACATTTGTGCTAAAGTCTCAACATTCGAAATTCTATGTACTTCGGTTGTACTGTACCAGGGAGGCAACTTCAAAATCATTTTCAGAATTTTGTTCTGAATCCTTTGAAGTGCTTTTTTCCTGGTAGTGCAGCAACTAGACCATATTGGCACAGCGTAAAGCATGGCCGGTCTAAAAACTTGTTTAAATATTAGAAGTTTATTCGTCAGACAAAGTTTGGATTTCCTGTTTATAAGAGGATACAAACATTTAATATATTTGTTACATTTGGCTTGAATGCCTTCAATGTGATCTTTAAAAGTTAATTTTTGGTCAAGTATTAATCCAAGATATTTCACTTGGTTTGACCAGGAAATTGGAACTCCGTTCATAGTGACTATGTGACTACTACTAGGTTTCAAAAACGAAGCTCTAGGCTTATGTGGAAATATTATAAGTTGAGTTTTGGAAGCGTTGGGAGAAATCTTCCATTTTTGTGAATAAGAAGAGAAAATATCTAAACTTTTCTGAAGTCTGCTGCAAATAACACGAAGACTTCTTCCTTTAGCGGAAATGCCTGTGTCATCAGCGAACAAAGATTTGTGGCAACCCTGAGGCAAATTAGGGAGGTCCGAAGTGAAAATGTTATACAATATAGGCCCAAGAATGCTACCCTGAGGAACTCCTGCCCTAACAGGTAGTCGATTAGATTTGGAATTTTGATAATTTACTTGAAGAGTTCTGTCAGTTAAATAATTTTGAACTAATTTCATAATATAAAGTGGAAAATTAAACTTTTTCAATTTAGCAATCAAACCTTCATGCCAAACACTGTCGAATGCTTTTTCTATGTCTAGAAGAGCAACTCCAGTTGAGTGGCCTTCAGATTTGTTTGAACGAATTAAATTGTTAACTCTTAAGAGTTGATGAGTAGTTGAATGCCCATGGCGAAATCCAAACTGCTCATCTGCAAAAATTGAGTTCGTATTGATGTGAAGCATCATTCTATTCAAAATTATCTTTTCAAAAAGTTTACTTATTGAAGAAAGCAAACTTATTGGACGGTAGCTAGAAGCTTCAGCTGGATTTTTATCCGGCTTCAAAATTGGAACAACTTTTGCATTTTTCCATTTATCAGGAAAGTATGCCAAATGGAAACATCTGTTAAATAATTTTACCAAGAAAGACAAGGTACTCTCTGGGAGTTTTTTGATGAGGATATAGAAAATTCCATCATCACCTGGAGCTTTCATATTTTGAAAATTTTTAGTTATAGACCTTACTTCGTCCAAATCAGTCCCCCAGGAATCATCAAAAATATTTTCCCGAGAGAAAATATTCAGAAAATCCCGAGCAACCTGATTCTCAATAGGACTAGTAAGACCCAAACTGAAATTATGGGAACTCTCGAATTGCTTAGCAAGTTTCTGAGCTTTTTCCAAATTTGTGATCAAAATTTTACCACCTTCTTTAAGCGCTGGAATAGGCTTTTGAGGTTTTTTCAAAATTTTTGTGAGTTTCCAAAAGGGTTTGGAACTCGGGTCTAATTTAGAAATATTATTTTCAAAAGTTTTGTTCCTCAGGGCAGAGAATCGCTTTTTAATTTGTTTTTGCAAATCCCGCCAGATAACTTTCATGGCAGGATCGCGTGTTCTTTGATATTGTCTCCTACGGACATTTTTAAGACGGATCAAGAGCTGAAGATCATCGTCTATTATAATTGAATCGAATTTAACCTCGCATTTTGGTACTGAGGCAGCTCTTGCTTCAACTATAGAAGTAGTCAGAGATTCAAGAGCATAATTAATTTCATCTTTGGTTTGCAAAGGAATGTTTGGATCGAAGTTATATTCCATAAATGTTCGATACTGCTCCCAATCAGCTCTATGGTAATTGAAAGTAGAGCTGTTGGGATTACAAATTATTTCTTGGGATATTTCAAAAGTTACTGGAAGGTGATCAGAACCGAAGTCAGCATGGGTAACCAATTGGCTACAAAGTTGACATGAATCAGTTAAGACCAAATCAATAGTGGAGGGATTTCTTGCAGAAGAAAAGCATGTTGGGCTGTTTGGATATTGAATAGTGTAATAACCTGCAGAACAATCATCAAACAGAATATTACCATTGGAATTGCTTTGAGCATTATTCCATGAGCGGTGTTTTGCATTAAAATCACCAATAATGAAGAATTTAGACCTATGACGGGTAAGTTTCTGGAGGTCACCCTTGAGAAAATTCTTTTGCTGGCCTACGCATTGGAATGGCAAATAGGCAGCTATAAACGTAAGTTGTCCAAATTTTGTTTCAACAGAAACCCCCAAAGTTTCAAAAACTTTGGTTTCAAATGAAGAAAGAATTTTATGTTTGATTCGTCTATGCATAATGATGGCAACGCCACCACAGGGTCCATCAAGACGATCATTTCTATAAATCAAGTAGTTTGCGTCCTTCTTAACCTTATGGGCAGGTTTAAGGAACGTTTCAGTTATAACGGCAATATGCACGTTATGAACTCTTAAAAAGTTAAATAGCTCGTCTTCATTATCTTTAAGAGATCGAGCATTCCAATTTACAATATTTAATGCTTTAAAATCCATTACTGAATTTTAAAGTCATGACAATATTATTTGCAAATTTTACTCCAGTTTGAATAGCATCAAACATGGAGTTAGATTTAAGCATATCAGAAATCATGTCAATTAATGAATTCTGTAAAAATTCCATTTTGGGGGCAGTAATGCTTCCTAAGTCAAAATTGTCAAAATTTCCATTAGAACGTTGGTTAGTATTTTGATTTCTACCCGCTGCAATAGCAGCATAGGTAGCTCCATTAACTCGCTGAACATTGTTAGCAGCGAGGGGAGTAGGTACAGATGAAACATTTGAAGCAGGGGAGGTATTTGTACCTACGGGTACGAATGTAGAATTTGTTCCTCGCTGACCGTTGTTAACAGCAGAGGAATTTGTACCTGGTCGGAAACGTGGAGCGTTTCCTACCTGACGGTTAGAACGAGATTGTAGGATCGCTTTGCGAGTCTTACATTCCCAAAAATTGGATTTGTGGTTTTCACCACAATTTGAACATTTAAATTTCTTAGGATCTTCCTTCACAGGACAGTCGTCCTTTGCGTGAGAGGAATCACCACAATTCATGCATTTAGCTGGCATGTAGCAATTTTTAGTTCCGTGACCCCATCCCTGGCACTTACGGCACTGGGTGAGGTTTTGGAAATTTCCTCCAGTCTTCCTGAAGTGTTCCCACTTCACTCGGACATGGAGCATAAGGCTAGCTTTTTCTAAGGCCTTAAGGTTGTTTAGTTCACTAGACTTGAAGTGAACTAAATAAAAATCATTAGAAATCCCGTTGCGCGAATCGCCAGGACGGGATTTCATTTTCATTTTGATTACTTGGAGTGGCACAACTCCAAGTAATTTTGCCAGTTCATCTTTGATCTGATCCAGGGATTCACCACTGGGCAGTCCTTTCATGACAACCTTGAACACACGTTCAGTTTTGGTGTCGTAAGTAAAAAAATTGTGCTTCTTCTCAGTAAGATACTTGAGAAGACATTTAAATCCGTCCAAGGTTTCAGCCAATACACGGCATTCACCCCGACGTCCAATTTGTAGTGAAAACTTAACTTTCACGAAATTCAAAAGTTCCATGCGAAGAGCATGGAAATCGGTAGTGGTTATCACAATAGGGGGAATCTTTTCCTTCTTGGCATTAAGCCGGGAAAGTTTACTAGAATTTTTCTTGGATGATGGATCATTCTCATCATCCGTGAGCAAATCAAATTGATTACTCAAATTAATTTCATCAGAAGGGGGGTCAAGAGTTTGCCCCTTTCTTTTGCGTTTAGGCGCCATGGCGGCAGTAAATTTTTATCCAAATCGACTTCCAAGCAGATTACTATAAGAATCTGAAGGATCGAAGAGGAATTTTCCAAATCGATATCCAAGAAGGATTACCTCGGGTAGGGTCCAAACAAGGATCGAAGAGGAATAAGAGTTGAACAAGGTAGAAAATTTTTACAGGTTGAGCACTGAAAAGTGCTGTTAAAATTTGTTGTAGCTTTAGGTAGTAGTAACACTTCCTTCAGCAAAAAGCAAATAGATCCGCACGGCCAGAGAGCACGATGCGGACTACCGGCGTCGCTTGCATTATTAGGAACAAGTCAGCAACAGATAGAATTTTATTACTATGCGAAGTCGATGAACCTGTGACCTAACGGGAAGGACGTCCACACTATTAGCAAGAGTTACGGAGTCATATTCATCAGAACGTATTTCCCTCAGATAGGATGCAACAAGTGAATCGCCGGTTCGTGGTTGTTCACCCAAGTAACAATTTCCAGTTGAAGAAACGCTTTCGTTTTGATTTTGTTCAGCTGCATGTTGTATAATAATTGCACAATGTGTTCACCACAACTTTTATAAAACCCTTGTTTACACTGGTTTGGAGAACCTATACAACTGCAACACAAAGGTGTTGTCTAACGTATTCAGTAAAACGTTTACCCAAAATCAATTTCTTGTTGAAGAAACGCTTCCATTGTGATTTTATTCAATTGCATGCTGAATAATAACAGTACAATTTGTTTATTACAACTTCTGTAAAACTCTTGTTTACACTGGTTTGGAGAACCTGTTCAACTACAGCATTATATGTATACGCGGTATAGGAGTAGAACGAGGCCTGTTGCAAATTTTATTTTATTCTATGTTACCCCTCCTTCAAAAATTACTAAATATTGAAGGAGCGAAAATAAAATTCTGCCCTCTTCAAAAACGTCACTTTCTCTGGACTATTTCCTTAAACGACACAATGTTTTTTTTTATATTATTAATTTATTGATTTATTATTAAATTAGTTGCTTAGACATTGAATATTTAGTTACCCCATGTTTTTTACACCCCCCCTCCCTCAACCTATTTGAGTGATGACGGACATTAAATGAAAATAATATTTTGCATCAGCCTCATGTAATCGAATATCATCGCTATCAGAGTTACAGCAAATACCTTTGCTATGTACATTGTTATCTTAGCACTAACTATACAGTCCTAACCCGCATTTTTGCCGGATAAGTTCAAATAGCTGCGATTATTTCAACAATTATTTCATCACCGTTGTCTAAAGATACACCATTTATGCACTGTTTGCAGGCATATTAAGGATTTAAACATAGCTATGCTGCAAAAAAAAAGTATTTCACTGAATTAAGCTAAAACGCTAATTCCATTTAAAGCATATTCAATAATGTTGGCTAAAATTAAAACCAAGGATTATGTGCAAAATTTGGGTGAAAATCGAAAAATCTCATGTGTGAAGATTTTAATAATCGGTTTCAATAAAAACTGCTTACACAGAGAAAAAAAATTACCTCAAATTTAAGTTCTATTTACTTAATTTTAGGTAATTTTGTGTTTTGCATCCCACTCTCACTTTTTGTTGTTGTCGAAAACAGAACGAGAGATTCGACTTTCTCATGACTATCGTTCAATAAGCTACTAGTGAGTATATGAGATATTCTCAAATTTGAGTCAATTGAACTTAATTTTGGGTATAAAATACTCACGAGTAAGTAATTATTTTTGCCGTAGTCAAATGTAAACTACTATAAGCGGTTTACTGAAAATTAGCTTATTGAACGGACCATGAGAGATGAGTGAAAAGAACTTAATTTTGGGTAATTTTTCGGTTCCGTGTAAGGTATGCTATATTTATCTAGATCAAAATAGAAAGAATTTTGATCTAGATAAATATAGCATACCTTAAGCAGTTTTTATTGAAACCGATTATTAAAATTTTCACACATGAGATTTATTAATATGATTAATTTAATAGTACGATGATATAAATTCTTGTAATTCAATTAATTACTCACTCATTGCATTATTTTCTTATACCTCAGAAACAATAACCCATGCATAATTGTAGTGCGGGACTGTTTATAAATTACTTAGACATTTTTTAATGCTTAGTTGACGAGATTTTTAGCCGTAGGCTAGTTCATCTCAGAATAGTCGAGAGATTTAAGACCTTTCTCCCTATTCGTAGACAATCGTCCGTATAAACCTCGTCAATCTCCCTCCCCATTCAGTGTTCACATTGCTTATGACAGCCTCAGTGGTATCGATTAACAAAAAAATATAACTAAAACGCAAACGCATAGTGACTCAGAAGTTTGGCTTACTGAATGTTTGTCTGTTTAACTTTATGTATACTTTTACTTAATGCGTGGATTAACAAATTTAAAAACAAAAAAATAAATTTTAATACAAAATTGATTCATTCGCGTAATAAAAATTCGATTGTTTGATAGATGCATTTTCAATTTTAAATATTATACTATTTCTGTTCTGCCATTAGTGCTTGTGTATCATAAGATGCTAAAATTTTAAAATCTTATCAAATTTATTTGAATATGAATTGCATCAGTTGCATTATTTGATTGTCCTTTTGTAGCGCTGAGTAATAAATACCCACATAAATCATAAATTAAAAACTGCATTGTCATGGCAGCGTGTTTCTCTCTTTCCTAGGTACTGGGTACGATCTACACACAATGAACGGTCGATCAGCTGATTTGTAAATGTTTCCACTCTTATGCTGGTCGTTTTTCTGTTACCTCGTTCATTCAGCAAAAGGTGCGCTCCGGTCGATTTCGTAGCTCAGTCTGCAATACGATATAAACGAAAACGGTTGGCTATCGTAGCTGCCTATTTTTAGTCTATCATCCCGTCTACTCACTGTGATTGTGCAAATATTGTAATATCTTGATACGCCTTGAGAACTTGAAAAATTGCAAATCCGGCGAGCGGTGAAATCACGAGGGTGTGAACATTTGATTTGATTTGGAAAAGTGAGAAAAACAGAAATGAGTGCTGAATGGAACATATTGTCCAGAGTTCCGAAAATTCTGGAAGAACATCATTTCATTGGCACGCCGGACGAGGAACCAGTTGTTCGATTTGAGCACCCCGACGATTTGAAGGTATGTTAAAGCTTTGACCGGTAGAAGCCCAGAATGTTTCAAATGGAAAAACAAAGATGCATTGAAAGTGTTAATTGATTTTGTTTTATCACTTTCACTGCTTGGTTACCATCCTTTGAAAGCAGATGCTTTAAACTCGTTTGAAGAATGAGCGGTTTCTGAGCTCACGATGAGTGATGGCAGGGGAAGACGGGGTAAGATGGCCACCCTAAGCTTGAAGTAAAATTTAACCAAACCCGTATAACATTCCAGGGATAAAGTTTTTAGTGAATATTGATCTGAGGAGTACTTTCCTTAATTATATTGCTTTTCAGAAAATTTCCATTTCATTTAATGATGTTTTATAACGAACCAACCTGGGATAAGACGACCACATGGCATATCACATGATCCTGGCCATATAAAAGGTTACTGTCTTCGGCAAATCCTTATAGTAACGTTACATTTACTAGTTAAATTATATAATAGCTCTAGAACAATAAACGCCGTAAACACAAATTAATAAATGCACATACATAATGTTTGTTTTTGTTATTTATTTGACGTTTCACTTGTTATCAAGCTAGAATGTGTTTTACAACACCAACAGCAAAGAATTCAGCATCATAATTTTTTTTTTGAAGAGTAGATTATTTCAATAATATAAAGGGTGGCCGTCTTACTCCGCCGTCCCCTACGTGGTTAGCTTATTTCAATTCCAGTCACGTTTTCGGCTGCGTACTGATTATATTCATGACGTTCGCGGATATTGTAGAGTTTAGCTAATTGAAAATAAATGCTATCAGCGTCGGTGTTCTAGTCTAGTTTTAATCTCATTGAGTAATGTGTGAGATAGCTACTTGATGCGGTAATCTATGGTGACCGGTTGTGAGCTTTCCTTTAGTCTGGAATGCTGAACCCAACAAAAAATTATAATCTTACATTTGACACAATGATGTATTTTCTGGCCTTAGTTGAAACATACAGCAGTATAACTTTAAGTTTACGTGAAAGAATTTAACAGTCGAATCATATTTCACATTTTAATTTTATAATTTTGAAAAGTATTGCAGTTCGGAAAAAAATAAATAAATAAAATAAAGCTTTCTTGGCAGTAAGTTTTTTGTTCATAACTCAGAAACGCCATAATACTTCACTTTGAGATATTAGATAAAAAAAATTGTTAGACAAAGTTTAATCACTCAGAAAATGCTTTTTCCTGGTTTTCTTTATGATTTTCCTCCATCGTAAAATTTTTGAGGGGAACATTTTTCAGACTATATTTTATATGGATTGCTCTTTTGAATTTGTTCTACAATGCTTGGTTTATGAGTTATGAATATTCAAAGTACGTGATGTCCGGGATAATCCGAAAACTACATACTTAGAAAAAATCATGTAAATTTAGGTGCTCTGAGACTGACATATACGAGCGTCAATTCTGACATACAATTTAGTCATAAAAGACGCGAATTTTGGCTCAATCAAACGTACTTCTTGTCGAGTAACGAATTTTTCAGTCTCGGAGCCCTTAATTTTACATGAAATGTTTGTTTGCTTCTCATCCTTTATGTCAAAGATGAATTCCGTCACGTGTAAATGAGGTATTCCTAGGTTTGTACAACTAAAGTTTTCCGTGAAAATGGGCAATTCCAATTTTTTCGAATTTTTGTTTCATTCATATGATCGTAAACTCCACCTGCGGGTTAAATTTCATATCATGCTAAGAACCTTCGGCCTATTTTGCCCGATAAAAAAAAAAGAAATCCCTAAATGGATCTTACCCGTTCAATAGTGAACAGTTTAATAAAGTGAGTGGAAGCAACCCTGATGCCAATCCTGTTCCCGGGAAAGTGGTTGTCATAACGAGTATTCAAGACGGACAAGTTGTGCACCCTGGGTAGTTTCCAGTTTCTGTCATGAGCCAAAACTCATTATACGACACATTAAATCACATGGCATATTGAATTCCCAGACCCACATAGGTCACATCCGGATATAGTTCGGGTACGTTCGGGGAAGCCAAAAGCTGACACGGTCAAAACCCTTCATACTCCACATCAAATCACATGAGGCTTTAAAATAAACATTTCTAGCGATTATGTATAGTAGTACTGTGTTACCTGCTTATAACGAATAAACGAGTACCACGAATACAACTCATGACGTATGCAATGCAAAATTAGACGATTCGGATTGTATTCGGGGTACTCATATACAACGTATAGCGAATTTGTTTTTGATTCAGTTGCAACCTGGATCGGGTATCAAGATTGGGTCTACTTGTTGACTGTCAAACGTCAGTGTGAACGTTTGTTTTTGTAACCTGGCTCGGGTTGAGGTTTTCACTGACAATAAGCTCGGGTTCGCACGGGTTGGAACTGGTTCCAACCTGGATAATAAACAAATTCGCTAGTAGATTCGTTATAAGTCAGGTAGCACAGTAGAAACCACATTTGCCATATCTGGCCATGTCTCGGTGGGGAGCCAATTAGAAAGTGATCAGATTGATTTCAGCCCGCATCGTGCTCTCTGGCCGTTCGGATCTATTAGCTTTTTGCTGAAGGAAGTGTTACTGACTCTTATTCCTCTTCGATCTTTATTTGGACCCTACTCGAGGTAATCCTGCTTGGATATCGACTTGGAAAATTCATCTTTGACCCATCGGATTCTTATACTGCCGATACTCGCATAATTGTCCCATCTTTGCTTGATTTCCTATTCATATGGGACAGTAATGCTTTTATGGGCAGTATAGTAATCTGCTTGAAAGTCGATTTGGAGAAACTTGGTTCTGCCGCCATGGCGCCTAAGCGCAATAGAAAAGAGCAATCGCTTGATCCCCCTTTGAGATGAAATTCAATTGAGCAATCAATTTGATATTCTTACGGATGATGAGAATGATCCATCATCCAGGCAAAATTCTATTAAACATTTCTGGCTTACTGCCAAAAAGGAAAGGGTTCCCCCTATTGTTGAAACCACTTCCGATTTCCATGCTCTTCGCAAGGATCTTTTGAATTTCGTTCAATTTAAGTTTTCACTTTAAATTGGCCGACGGGGTGAATGCCGTGTCTTGGCTGAAACCTTGGACGGATTCAAACGTATTCTCAAGTACCTTACTCAGAAGCAACGCATATTTTTTACTTATGGCACCAAAAATGAACGTCTGTTCAAGGTTATCTTGAAAGGTCTGCCCAGTGGTGAATCCCTGGTTCAAATCAAAGATGAATTGGTAAAATTACTTATAGTTGAGCCTGTGCATGTAATCAAAATGAAAATGAAATCCCGTCCTGGCGATTCGCGCTACGGGATTTCTAATGATTTTTATTTAGTTCACTTCAAGTCTAGTGAACTAAACAACCTTAAGGTCTTAGAAAAATTTACCCTTATGCTCCATGGTAACACTTTAGGAAAACTGGAGGAAATTTCAAAAACCTCACCCAGTGCCGTAAGTGCCAGGGATGGGGTCACGGAACAAAAAAAATGCTACATACCAGCAAAATGCATTAATTGTGGTGATTCCTTTCACGCTAAGGACGACTGTCCTGTGAAGGAAGATCCTAAAAAATTAAATGCTCAAATTGTGGTGAAAACCACAAATCCAATTTTTGGGAAAGTAAGACCCGCAAAGCGATCCAACATACTTATATTTTTTTTACATAGTCAGTAGTTTTTACTGGGGTTTTGAATTGCTGAAAAAGTCGGTAAAAATTCGAACGTAAGGAATCAATTAAATTGACAAATTTTATTTTCTATCATTAAATGGGGTTAACAGAAGTAAGTCTGAACAAGTTCGGAATAAATGGTCTCATTTTTGAATTTTTCTCAGGTTTTTTTTCCACATTTCAAAAACCTAGTTAAACTTTACTGACTGGATTAGTGTCTACAATCTCGTTTTAAGCGACAGGTAGGAAACGATCCACGTTCCCGATCAAGTACAAATTCCTCTGCTGTTAACAAAGGTCAGCGAGGAACAAATTCTACATTCGTACCTGTACTTACAAATATCACCCCTTTATTTAATATCTATACCTGCTCCCCTTGCTGCTAACAATGTTCAGCGAGTAAATGGAGTTACCTATGCTGCTATTGCTGCGGGTAGAAATCAAAATACTAGCCAACATAATTCTTACGGAAATTTGGAAAATTTTGACTTAGGAAGCATTACTGCTCCTAAAACGGAATTTTTATAGACTTCATTAATTGACATGATTACTGATATGCTTAAATCTAACTCCCTGTGCAACACTTCAGAGGCCATAATCGATGACGAAAAGGCCCGGATTGTAAAACTGGTCGTAACGGGTTTTGGAACTGGGTAACCGTGTGGCAAGCTTTGTGAATACGGGGATCAGTTGCTCCGCTGTGAACAGAGCATCTATGTTTTCGTTCAGAGGTGGTGCATCGTCGTGACGCCTGGATGTCCCGGAGGAGTGATGTGCTGCGAGATGCAGTGGTTGCCGCATACGTTTGACGACAATTGGCACATATGGGATTCTTCCATCATCTCGCAAGCGCTGTAGTTGTGTTTTTTTTACCACATTGACCATGTGGAAATTTTTGGTTCCATGCCCGAGCAGTACAGATCGGGCATTGCGTGACGTCACGATGGAGCGGTTTGTACCGTTCCTATTTCTCCACTAATGGAATAGGGCTTGTATATTGTGCAGATCCTTCAAGTAAGTTGATTTCTTCTCAAGGTGGACCAGATACAGCTGATCACGAAATTAATGAGTAGGGTCATGGCGATTTGCACCAGTTTGAGGCAGTTTGCCTTCAATATATCCTACAGTGTGTCGGTATCCATGTCCGGGAGGCCACGCAGGACCACCTTGAGCATGGCTTCGAGATCATGGGAGAAATATTCCACCTTCAGTTTGTCCAGCATAACTTGAACCGCCTTGTAGTGGTTCATCGCCGGACACTTTTACTAATGTAATGGCCTTTATAGCTTTACTAATGTAATAGTCTATAGTCTCCCGCAAGCCATTCGGGAATCCCTTTACGAAGAATGGCGGAAGTTTCTCCTTCCTTCCACCTTCCATATGGCGTGACGGTTGTTCGCCAGCAGCTTTTTCGAAGCCAACTAAACGTCGGTGGCATCTGATCCGTTTTCCCATTGGCTGCTGTCGGGATTTCTCGCATTACTTTTCAAATAGACCAATCTAAATTGATCAATTATCTTCATTAACTCTCCCTTTCGCTAATAACTCGGCTCCAAAAAGCTGTTCAGCTTATCGTCCAATTCGCTAAATAATACTTTCTTTTAACATACTATATAAAAATGCCCGAAATATGAATGCAACTAAGTTATTAACCAAAGAGAGAGTCGATGAAAAGAATTGATCAATGTAGATTGGTCTATTTGAAAAGTGACGGTAGATTTTCCCTCACGATGTTTCACACCAACGAGATTTTACTCAAATTGAGTGTTTCATTACTCGATTTAACTCTCATGTGTTTTTGTAATACTTTCAAATAAAGTTCTAATTTTTTATCATTATTATTCTACTCTATATACCAGAATGCCAGAATGTAAAGTAAACTAATATCACATTGAATCACATAAAAAATTAGCATCGATAGTCGTCTTGGTCACACCCGGGCAGGAATGGATCCACCTCTGAATAAGGCAGTTCGGATGGCCTCTTCATCTGAGGAAACCACATTTTGTACCGAGGGGGGCGACACATCTAAATCTCAATTTTAGATACTCAAAAAATCTCACACTAGCGAATCAATCTTAGAAAAATCTTCTTGCATTTCTCGCATCTACTTGCATCGCGCATCATCTTTTTGCAGGAAATCTTCAGAATCGTCATCAATCTTCATTCTATCTACTTAGCGTGCGAGCAGCTAGCAACAACACAACACAATCTTTCCTGCAGCGTCCCCCTCGTTTTGTACATAATTGAGAAACTTTTTGGCTTGATTGAATCCGTTGATGCGATGAATCAAGGAATGCATGCTTCTAATTTGGTTTTTATCGCAGTGTTCTAACAAGAATCGCTGGATTAACTGGTTAGGTACGTTCCTTTGGATCCCTGGGTGTTTGGTTCGTATCCCGGTTGTAACTTTTTTTTTCTTTTGCTACTTTTCTACTTCATACCGGGAGGAAATTCAAAAGCTTCTCAATTAAAGAGCACATTGAAAAAAATAACTCTTATCAAAGCACACCTTTCTTTCTTCGGTTATTTTTTGTGTTTGCCTCTATTTGAATGTGTTTTCATAAAGCTGTGCAATCATTCTCCTCAATTTGATAAGCAGTAAAGTTTGCTCTTTGTGCTCAATGTGTGATGAAATAACAAGCCTGCATCCGGGCATGTTTATCAGCGTGCTTTCTGGTCATAATTTATCATAAGGCAAACCGTACTGGATGAAAATTCAGACACAGAATAATATATAATTCAGAAATTATCATTATCTTTTCAACGAATGCGAACTTGAGCAATTTTGTCGGAAATTTAAATTAGTACGAATGGTCATATCTCACAATAGGTGGATAAATTTCGGTTTTATTAAGAGGATCGTAGCGATAAGCTAGCGAAAAAAGTTAAATACTTGTATGTTTTTTTTTGGTTAGGGAGCATGTCAGCGTTTATAAAGAACAACAATATGGCTGCCTGAACATTCAAGTTTTTTTTTACTTTCAGAACCTCATTGACTTCACACTTGACAGTGCTAAGCCACGGGATCAGTCAGATGTCGAGCGGATAATCAAAGATGTACTGCACTATTCAGTGAAAACCGGGCATAGGAATTTCCACAATCAGCTTTTCGCAGGTGTTGATCCATATGGTTTGGCCGGTAGTTGGATCACGGATGCACTGAATACGAGTCAGTAAGTTTCGTCTTCATTATAGATGTCAAATGTTACAGCAATCTAATGACCATATTCCATACAGGTACACCTTTGAGGTTGGTCCAGCGTTTACGCTGATCGAAGATGCTCTTATAAAGAAATGTTTAAACATGTTTGGGTTCAACGAGGGCGATGGAATCCTTTCACCCGGTGGATCCATATCGAACATGTACGCAATGGTTGCGGCACGGTACAGAGCGGTACCGGATGTGAAACGTACTGGTTTAGCAAATCACGTTGCACTGGTAGCTTTCACTTCAGAGGATGTAAGTTTTAAGATGTAGATAGTATTCTCACATAATAAACATGTTTTTCCTATAATCAGGCTCATTACAGTATTAAGAAAGCCGTACACTGGCTGGGCATTGGCATTGACAATATGGTGCTAGTCAAAACCGATACTCGAGGCCGAATGATCCCGGAAGAGTTGGAGAAAGCCATTGAGTCAGTTGTTGAATCTGGACGGAAGCCCTTCTTCGTGAATACCACTGCCGGTACCACAGTTATGGGAGCATTTGATCCATTTCATCGGATTGCTGACATCTGCCAAAGGCATAACATTTGGATGCATGTTGATGGCTGCCTGGGTGGAACGGCAATCCTATCAAACAAGTGTGCTCATCTTCTGACAGGTGTTGAACGCGCCGACTCGCTAGCTTGGAACCCGCACAAAACATTGGGAGCTCCATTGCAGTGCTCAATTGTTGTCTTCAAGCACAAAGGTCTGCTCCACGAGTGCAACTCTGCTAATGCGGATTATCTGTTTCAACTAGATAAATTCTACGATGTATCGTATGACACTGGCGATAAGAGCGTTCAGTGCGGAAGGAAGGTAGATGCGTTCAAGATATGGCTAATGTTTAAAGCACGAGGAGCTAATGGTTTGAGTGAGTTAGTTGATAATGCTTTTGATTGCGCGCGATATTTTACTGACGAGATTAGAAACCACTCTGGATTCCGATTGGTTATTGACGAGTATCAGTATACCAATATCAGCTTCTGGTATATCCCCGAGAAATTACGAGTGGACGTTGAGCAGCAAAGCGAATCATGGTGGGCTCGCATTTATGAGGTACGGTTTACTACAAGTCCAGTTATCTGTTTATGTGTCTGTCTGTCTGTCTGTCTGCTATACCGACTGTTTTTTTTTTGTTCCTAGATAACAGCGGAAATAAAGGAGAGACTGGTGAAGCAAGGAACCGTGTTGATTGGCTACGTTCCTCTGCCCCACAAAAAGTTGGGAAACTTTTTTCGAATGGTTGTTACCTGCCATCCAAAGCCAACGTACGACTCCATGCGGTTTGTGATAGACGAGATTGAACGAGTTGGTGAAACGCTTTGAGTGAATTATGCACTATGTTTTTTTTTTATGTAAGTGATCTTCAGTCGAAGGCTGGTTCATCCCGATGTGCGGTATAAGAGGTGAGGAGAAAGGAAACTAGTGGACTCTTTCATTCTGACGGTGTTCTTATGCAACAGCAGACGTGACGTCACGTCTGTTGCTGCGTAAGAAGACGCGAGAACGAAAGAGTCCACTAGTTTCCTTCCTCCTCACCTCTTATACCGCACATCGGGTTCATCCCTCATGTACTATGATATATTTATGGAAATTCTATATGAACAATAATTTTATAAGCAGGTTAATAAGTAGCAAGTACCAGAAATAAGTAGTAGTTAATACTAGCTTGTCGTACACGACGTGTACGCTGCCGTTATACGCATAAGTATCCCACGGTCCATAAGGCTTGCATATAACATCTGGCATAGAGGTATCAGAAAGTAATCGATTATTGCGATTAATCGATTATTCGTCGTTAAAAATTCACATTTATGTAATTACCACTATGTATATTAACCGCCATAATCGAATGGATGTCGATCGATAGTTGACTATGTTAAATCCTTTTACTTTTTAATTGATTGAATAAACAAGAACTGGTTTTGGCTAGTGAATATTGTTTGATTAATTGTACTTATAAGATTCGCAATGGAAAACAATAACAATTTATCAAGAAAGATCCACGACGATTTTTTAACATTAAATGAGCTACATATAACATACTTCATAACAACTATACTGCCTATAATCGCATATAAGTCCCATATGGAAAAATTAGGCATTGAGAAAATGGCAGTCGAAGCTACGAAAAGCAATTCTCATGTAAATATTTAAAAAATTATAATTTTTTCAAATTAAAATCTGCCACAATGAAGCATGCATTTTCTGTTATATCAGCGAAAAATATGGCAATTCGAAAGCAGAACTTTAACTTGAACTATGGACGATTGAATTTCAGGATGGGACTGATATGCGATTAGTCCCATCCTGACAAACTGACGCACAATATGGGTATTTTCGGAATCGGGGTTACTTGTAGGAACCGAAAATCGATCCAAGATAGTGGCTTCCGCTTCCAGAAAAACTTGGAAATTCAGTCAAATAGTTGTTTGCTTGTTGATTTTTGTTTACGAAAATCCAGCGTGATTATGTGCTTTGATTAGGTTTGATTTTTTTGATATTTTTTTTCAACACTGTCTCACCAGATAGGTATTTTTGGAATCGGAGTGACGTTTAGGGGCCAGAAATCGATGCCTGACGTCATTTTTAAATCCAAAATGACCGCTTCTGGTTAGAGCTTAGAAATTACCCCACAATACAGCGTGTGTAATTTTGGATTTCAAACTGGCATCAGACATATATTTCCAGTCCTTACATGTCACTCCAATTCCAAAATTACCCATATTGTGTATTTACGAACCCTAATAACGAGTTTTTTTTTCACCAAGTTCATTCCTGATAACGAGTTTTTTACGCACTAATTCGATTTACGAACCTTCAGCTTGGTTCGGAGGTTCCAGTGAACTAAATTTTTGCATGTGGGTCTGATCTGCGATTTTAGGCGGTATAACAACGTAATAAAATGAAGAAAGAGAGAAGGATTAGTAATTTTCTCTTAATTCCACTAACTTATTTGCTTATCATTGAAAGATATGCGTATTTCGTCTACAATGTGCAGACTTCTTCAGTGTCTTGTACTATAATACTCGACTACACTGAAGAAGTCTGCACATTTTAGACGAAATGCGCGTATCTGTCAAGGATAAGCAAATAAGGTAGTGGAATTAAATGGAAAATGCTAATGGTTCTCTCTTTCTTTATACAGGCACTAAGACGCTTTACTCACTTTTGCTCGAATATTAGGAAAATCAGTCGAAATTTTACTCAGTTTACATGTACATATACATATACTTATAAAGATTTAGAGTTAATCGGCCTATAGGGAACTATAAAATCTCCATCAAATCTCGCGTAACATTTGAACTCCGCCTATTATACTTTCATTGATGATTACCAACAACATAGTTCTCATAACTAACGGCTTGTCTTGAAATATTTGTGTTGGCACATTTCCAATTCCTGATGTTGGTTTAAGGTCTTTAACGAATTCAAAAACATCACCCACGTGCATCCACGGGATAAATGAGAATCTCCTTCCAATAATAGCATCATACAACCGGTCGAAAAACAGGAGGATGTCCCAATGAGTGGGAAGAAGAGCCCGCCCTCTTTTCACGAAATTTTAGGCGGGGGACAGAGAGTTGGCATTTCCACTCTTCCCATCCATTTCGCTTCGGGTGCAGTGGTGGACCGTCCCACCCTAACATTTAATGTTTCATATCATAATGGAATGAAAGTTAAAGAAAAATAAAGGAAAGATCTCACCCATAGGCGTAGCCAGATAGGGGCAGGGGGGGGGGGGCGACTGCCCCCCCTAAACTCGGCAACACAAAGGCTTTCGAGGAAATGGCGTTCGGTGAAATGGCATTCGGCCAAATTTTCCATGGTAATTTTTTTTTCGCCCCTCCCTAGCTCGAAACCTGGCTACGCCCTTGCACCCGATGTTGAAAAGGAATCCATGACATCACGATGATTTCGAAGAGTTCTCATGCTGCCCCTACTTCTTTAACCGGTGTTAAAACATCACTCTTTCCATTCGTTCCTCACACAGAAGCGTAAACCCCCATCAGCCATCAACAACGAAACACACTCTAGCTGCTGCAACTAGAGGGACCTCAGCAGTGAAAAAAAAGGACTACGTCCACTTTCCACACAAATCGCTCGCGACACCACGGTTTCAGATCCCCATGACACAGTCTGTAAGATGCAGTGCCAGATCCTCACCGGCGGAATCAACTCACCGAAATCAGAACCGACAACTACACTCAAAAAATATTGAAATCTAAATAGTATAAAAGTTACGCTAAAACGCTGTACAGACTGGAGAGTTATAACATGTTATAACGGTTGTCAAATAATTGCAACACAGGAACCACCATCAAGATAGCGCTATAACATGTTATAACTCTGTAGTCTGAACGTACTATAAATCGCAACTCTCCGTACCGACGCAAAGGTCGGTATAAAGGGAGAGAATGCAAACTTAGTATAAAAATTGTTTATGCGTGCCATAGTATAAAATCGAAATATACTTTCAATGCATAGATACGGTTTATTCGAGAGAACGTGTTTTTCGCTTTTTTATTTTATTTATGGAAAATATTATTGTTTTCAAATAAAAATAAAAATTGTCTCAGGAAGCCTTTTTAATTAGTTTATTTTTTGTGAATATTATTTAAAAAAAAATACTTACAATTTCGATGCTGCCCAGCAGATCACAAGCGCAGTAGAAATCCGTCGGGACAAAGCTCTTCATCAGCACGAAGCTCCGAAGGGAATCCAGATGTTCTTTTTCTGTCATTTTAGTAAACACTGAGCGAATTCCACTCCGTTATTTGGACTTAGTATAATTTTGACGAAAATTTTAATCGAACCAATATATACATTTTGAAAAACCATAAAATGCATAATATCGTTTTGCTATGGAATGTTATATCTTTTTTTTTTTTTTTTTTTTTTTTTTAACTCTTTATTTGTTCCAAATTTAAAATAAATTACATTTCATTTTAACCTAGGTGCTCCAGTTACTGCAGTAACGTACCAGCCTTAATTGTTATGATATATATCTAAGTGTTTTTACATTGTTCATGTCTTGGCAATTCAGTATTTTAAACAGGTTTTTTAACCTGCATGTCAGTATAACAATTGATATCTTAAAACTAAAAACTAAAACTAAATCTTATCTAAGTATAAAGGGAATTAATCGTTGCAATTGAGGATTGCAACGATTTTTGCCTGAAATTATTAATTATTTTGTTGGACATTTGTGCTAAAGTCTCAACATTCGAAATTCTATGTACTTCGGTTGTACTGTACCAGGGAGGCAACTTCAAAATCATTTTCAGAATTTTGTTCTGAATCCTTTGAAGTGCTTTTTTCCTGGTAGTGCAGCAACTAGACCATATTGGTACAGCGTAAAGCATGGCCGGTCTAAAAACTTGTTTAAATATTAGAAGTTTATTCGTCAGGCAAAGTTTGGATTTCCTGTTTATAAGAGGATACAAACATTTAATATATTTGTTACATTTGGCTTGAATGCCCTCAATGTGATCTTTAAAAGTTAATTTTTGGTCAAGTATTAATCCAAGATATTTCACTTGGTTTGACCAGGAAATTGGAACTCCGTTCATAGTGACTATGTGACTACTACTAGGTTTCAAAAACGAAGCTCTAGGTTTATGTGGAAATATTATAAGTTGAGTTTTGGAAGCGTTGGGAGAAATCTTCCATTTTTGTAAATAAGAAGAGAAAATATCTAAACTTTTCTGAAGTCTGCTGCAAATAACACGAAGACTTCTTCCTTTAGCGGAAATGCCTGTGTCATCAGCGAACAAAGATTTGTGGCAACCCTGAGGCAAATCAGGGAGGTCCGAAGTGAAAATGTTATACAATATAGGCCCAAGAATGCTACCCTGAGGAACTCCTGCCCTAACAGGTAGTCGATTAGATTTGGAATTTTGATAATTTACTTGAAGAGTTCTGTCAGTTAAATAATTTTGAACTAATTTCATAATATAAAGTGGAAAATTAAACTTTTTCAATTTAGCAATCAAACCTTCATGCCAAACACTGTCGAATGCTTTTTCTATGTCTAGAAGAGCAACTCCAGTTGAGTGGCCTTCAGATTTGTTTGAACGAATTAAATTGTTAACTCTTAAGAGTTGATGAGTAGTTGAATGCCCATGGCGAAATCCAAACTGCTCATCTGCAAAAATTGAGTTCGTATTGATGTGAAGCATCATTCTATTCAAAATTATCTTTTCAAAAAGTTTACTTATTGAAGAAAGCAAACTTATTGGACGGTAGCTAGAAGCTTCAGCTGGATTTTTATCCGGCTTCAAAATTGGAACAACTTTTGCATTTTTCCATTTATCAGGAATGGAATGTTATATCTATATCTATATCTATATCACTATAACGGCGCCGGTGGTGTAGTGGTAAGCGTGATTACCTCTCACCCCAGCAGGCCTGGGTTCAATCCCAGTCGGCGCCGCCGGGATGTTCTGAGGCATAACATCTCT